CATAGGATTGGCCTGTCTTGGATCCTGCTTCAGGTTTTTCCTAAATTCTTTCAAACGAGCAGCATCGGGTCTCAGCTAGCCCCATACCGCTCATTAAGTAATACACAGAAACAAACACAGGGAGGCAGCCAAAATAAGGAGACAAAGAAACAGGTCCCAAATGAAAGAACAGAACAAAACCCCAGGAAAAGAACTAAGCGAAATGGAGATAAGCAACCTAACAGATGCTGAGTTCAAAATACTGCTTATAAGGATGCTCAATGAACTTACTGAGGGCCTCAAGAGCATAAAAAAGGACCAGTCAAAAATTAAGGAGGCACTAACTAAATGAAGAATAATTTACACAGATTCAATAGTAGAGTAGGTAAAGCCAAGAAGCAAACCATTGATTTGGAATATAAGGGAGGAAAAAATGCCCAATTAGAACAGCAAAAAGAAAAAAAAAATGAGGATGGTGTAAGCCTCTGGGACAACTTCAAGCGTGCCAACATTCGCATCTTGGGGGTGCCAGAAGGAGAAGAGCGAGAACAAGAAATCGAAAACCTGTTTGAAACAATAATGGCAGAAAACTTTCCTAACTTGGTGAAGGAAACAAACATACAAGTCCAGGAAGCACAGAGTCCCAAACAAGATGAACCCCAAGAGGCCCACACCAAGACACATCATCATCAAAATGCAAAAGGTTCAAGACAAAGAGAAAATCTTAAAAGCAGCAAGAGAAAGGCAGCTAGTTACCTACAAGGGAGTTCCCATAAGGCTGTCAGCTGATTTCTCAAAAGAAACTTTGCAGGCCAGAAGGGAGTGGCAAGAAATATTCAGAGTGATGAAAACCAAGAACCTACAACCAAGATTACTCTATCCTGCAAAGCTGTCATTTAAAATCGATGGCCGTATAAAGACTTTCCCAGACAAGAAAAAGTTAAAGGAGTTCATCACCACCTAACCATTATTATATGAAATGATGAAGGGTCTTTTTGAAGAAAAAGATAAAATATATGAACAAACAAAATGGCAATGAATACATATCTATCAACAATGGAATCTACAAACAAAATGAACAGGTAGAACAGAAACATTCTCATAGATACAGAGAACATTTTGTTGGTTGGGAGGGGGGTTGGGAGAAGGGGTGAAAAAGGTGAAGGGATTAAGAAGTACAAATTCATTGCTAGACTGACAAACCTCAAAGGGAAAGGAGTTGGGGGGTGGGAAGAAATAAACCAAAGAACTTATATGCATAACCAATGGGCACAGACAATAGTGTGGGAAAAGGCGGGAGGGGGGCGGGAATGGGGAGGAGGAAGTCAATGGGGGAAAAATGTGGAACATCTGTAATACATTCAACAATAAAGATTTAAAAAAAAAAATAGCTAGGTAGCTGAATATTAGAGAGCTGACTTAAAGCCTCGAAGGGGAACCAAGAGTTTTGCGTTTTGGGATATTGATTTTTAACCTGGTCATGAAGAAAAGACTCAGAAAGAACCTTTGACGCTCCCCTTTCCTTCCTAAGAGATCCAGAAGGGAAAATCTGCTTCAGGAAGAGAACCTCAGCATAATCATCTCAGCATGAGACAGAAGACTCCTAGCCAGAGCCTGGTGACTAAATTCTACGTCCCTCCTCCCCTGGATCTCATTGTTTCTGGGTTGTCTAGCAAACAGGTTCCTGCCTCATGTGTTCTGCTCCTCCTCGATGACCTGCAAAGCGCCCACTCTCACCTTTGCTTTAAAAAAATTTTTTTCCGCCCTGGCCGGTTTGGCTCAGCGGTTAGAGCGTCGGCCTGTGGTCCCGAGAGACCCGGGTTCAGTTCCCGCTAAGGGCATGTACCTCGGTTGCAGTTTGTCCCCGGCCCTGGTTGGTCGTGCGGGTGGCAGCCACTCGATGTGTCCCTTTCACATCGATGTTTCTCTCTCTCTTCCTCTCTCCCCCTCCCACTCTACCTGAACAAAAAATAGAAAAATGTCCTCAGGTGAGGATAAAAAAAAAAAAAATTTTTTTTCCTTTAATAATGTTTTTAGAGAGAGAGAAAGAGAAAAGGAGAGAGGGATAGAGACATCGATGAGAGAAAACATTGACTGGCCGCCTCCTGCATGCCCCCCACTGGGGATCGGGCCCTCAACCTGGGCATGTGCCCTGACTGGAAATCGAACCGGCGACCTCTTGGTGCATGGGTCAACGCTCAACCACTGAGCCACACTGGCCAGACCATTCTCACTTTTGAAATCTCAGACCCCTACCCCTCCTTTCTCTTTGGTCCAAAATAACGTAAACACCCAATTTCAGCGCACTGTTTCTGGAATTTTCATGCTTCTGTGAATTCCCCCTGCCCATGTATTAAAACTTGATTTTCTCTGGCTAATCTATCTCTGTTAATGTGATGATTAGCCCAGATAGAAGAACTTAGAAGGTGGGAGGGAAAGTATATTTTTAGCCCCCACATCACACTCTCAGAAGTCAATAAAACATAGAAATATCTTTAACTTCCAATATAGCTCATGTTAATTTCTATATCTTAATGTGAGATATGTCTAGACTCCTAACAAAATAAATTAAGTGATGATAGGGCAATGATGATATGCTAACATTAAGATATTTATATAAGAAGTCAGAAGAAAGTAAAAACTTCTGTGTTTTATATATATTTTTTAAATATGTTTTTATTGACTTTTTAGAGAGAGAGGGAGAGAGAGAGAGAGAGAGAAACATTGATGTGAGATCAGGAATCGAACCAGGACCTCTTAGTCCTCTCAATCCACTGAGCCACACTGGCTAGGCCTATGTTATATATTTTTATTGTGTGTTTATAAAGATCATTTCTTAGAGATGTTGATCCTACATCAATATAACCATTTCTCTTAACTTTAGGACACCACACTCCAAATTCCTCTATACCAGGTCAATCTACGAGCATCAACTAAACTCATCATCAATGTGACCTCTGCACCTTCACACATGAGCTCCTCCTACTTCAGATATTCTCACAGTGCCTCCCAGATTAATCCCCAAACCCTCCAATCTCTCTATCCTTCTGCGCAATGTTCATGGACTTTATCAAGACTTCTGGTGAGTCCTAGTCTGCACTTAACTTTCCACAACTTTAAATTCCTCCAGCACTTATTAATAGTTTATATCACAAGATCATAATCTTGCTCATATGTAGGAATTATTCTCTGAGGATGATCTAAAAAATAAAGCTTGTTGCCTGGCTGGTGTGGCTCAGTGGTTGAGCATCGACCCATGCACCAAGAGATCACTGGTTCGATTCCCGGTCAGGGCACATGCCCGGGTTGTAGGCCTGATCCCCAGTGGGGGGCACGCAGGAGGCAGCCAATCGATGTTTTCTCTCATCGATGTTTCTATCTCTCTCCCTCTCCCTTCCTCTCTCTCTGAAATCAATAAAGAAAAAAAAAATTAAATAGTAATAAAATAAAACTTGTTTCTACAACTAGATGTCAAATTCCTCCAGGAGAAGGATCAGACAGTACATTTGATCTTCCATAACATCTACTTCAGTGTTATCATTCAGCCAAAAGGACTTACTGGGTATTTCTTTGTATTCCTGGCACTGTGCAAAGTATTAGAAGTGAGGAAAGATTGTTGTCTATACGTAGAGCAGACTGTGGATAAATGTTTCCTGTATGAATGTGTACGTGCAGTGATGGATTGTGTTGAGACACTTCGTGGATTTGGCTATCTTTCGCCTGAGACCTGGAATTTCTGTTGAAAGGACACATTTCCAAGCACACTCTTTCCAATACATTTTCTTTTTTTTTTTTTTTTTTTTTTTATCCTCACCCGAGGACATTTTTCCAATTTTTGTACAGATAGAGTGGTAGGGAGAGAGAGAGAGAGAGAGAAACATCGACGTGAAAGGGACACATCGAGTGGCTGCCACCCGCACGACCAACCAGGGCCGGGGACAAACTGCAACCGAAGTACGTGCCCTTAGCGGGAACCGAACCCGGGTCTCTCTGGACCGCAGGCCGACGCTCTAACCGCTGAGCCAAACCGGCCAGGGCTCCAATACATTTTCTAATGCAAACAGAAATGATCTACATTCAAGTCCAGTGATTATAAGCACTTCACTTGTGTGGGTGACACCTACGCCAAATTATAAATAAACTCTGATCTTTAGAGTGGTGTGAAGGACCAGAAGGGCCACTGAGCTAAGAGTCAGGAATCTGGGCTCTGTCATTAGTTGATTGTGAGATAACTGGACAGACCACTTGGTCTCTTCACGCCTGTTTCTCACATATTCACCCTCCTGACCCTTGAGTCTCAGTGTGGTCTGCGGGCCAGCAGTGTGGGTATCACCTAGGAGCTTGTTAGAAATGCAGAATCTCAGGCCCCACCCTAGACCGACAGGATTATAGATGAAAGATGACCAGAGGGAAGGGGGTCAGGGGCTGGGTGGAAAGAATAGGATCATTTGTAATAGTGTCAACAATAAAAATAAAGCTTAAAAAAACACACATCTTGCCCTGGCCCATTTGGCTCAGCGGTTAGAGCATCGGCCTGTGGTCCAGAGAGACCCGGGTTCGGTTCCCGCTAAGGAATCAGTTTGCAGTTTGTCCCCGGCTCTGGTTGGTCGTGTGGGTGGCAGCCACTCGATGTGTCCCTTTCACGTCGATGTTTCCCCCTCTCTCTCTTCCTCTCTCCCTCCCACTCTATCTGAACAAAAGGTGGAAAAGTGTCCTCAGGTGAGGATAAAAAACAAACAAACAAACAAACAAAAAAACAACAACACACATCTTAATTTTCTCCTATTAAAAAATAAATAAATAGCCCGGCCAGTGTGGCTCAGTGGTTGAGCATCATGCCATGCACCAAGAGGTCGCCGGTTCGATTCCCGGTCAGGACACATGCCCAGGTTGTGGGCCCGATCCCCAGTGGGGGGCGTGCAGGAGGCAGCCAGTCGATGTTCTCTCTCATCAATGTTTCTCTCTCTCTCCCCCTCTCCCTTCTTCCCTCTCTAAAATCAATAACAAAAATAAATAAATAGATGGCCGGGAGTAAGTTCAGGTACCGCTGGCGCGCGGGACGAGGGGCGAGCCCGGCGGTGCCCCCATAAAGGCAGGCTCGCTGCCTTCCTCAGGAACACATGGGCCAAGGAGCCGGTGTCGGTCGCCTCCTTCACCATCGGGAGCCTCGCTGGAATTCTGCCCGCCTGCAGCCCCTACACCAGGCATGCCACCACGATCAACCAGGTCACACCCTGCAACTACCCCGTGCCCGCCCGAGATGATGGGAACATGCCCGGCGTGCCCCGCCACCCCCAGGACCCCAGGGCTGAAGCCTAGAGTGGCTGAAGAAACTGTGAACACCTCCACTGACAGGAAGAAGTCCCCTTCCCTGTGGCAGGAAAAAAAAAATTAAATTAAATAAATAAAGTCTGCATTTTAACAGATTTCCCAGGTGATCTGTGCAGACATTCAAGTTTGAGAGGCACTGTCCTGCGTTACGAGATTTTTCAGGACAGAGGGATTAAATTCACCATTATAGCCCCTAACATCTATTAACGAGCCTAGGGCACAGTAGACATCCCATAATTTGCCTAAAGGATGAATGAAAGTGTTAAAGAAAAGGGGGGGAGGGGGCTAAGATTGATTGTTTCTCTGGTCCTATCCAAGATAACACACTGTAACTGTAGGCCAAGCTGAAATCAGTTGATTTTAACATAAGCAAAATGGGCCTTCAAACTAAATCCTGCTTGAGGCCTAATGTCTCTGACCTATTTTTCCATCTGCTAAATAATAAATTATAGGCCTACTCATAGCACAGTATTCTTGATTAAATTAGAGGAAAAACACTAAAGTGTGTGTGTGTTCCTCTTTTTTTTTTTAATTTTTTCTTTATTGATTTTAGAGAGAGAGGAAGGGAGAGGGAGAGAGATATAGAAACATCGATGAGAGAGAACATGGATTGGCTGCCCCGTGCATGCCTCCCACTGGGGATCGGGCCCACAACCTGGGCATGTGCCCTGACCGGGAGTCAAACTGGCAACCTCTTGGTGCATGGGTCCATGCTCAACCACTGAGCCACACCAGCTGGGCGTGTGTTCCTCTTTTAATAAATTTTTGTACATGCTCACCAAGATCCTGGATCCTGACATTAAAGATGTTCAAGATTTTAGAAGTGCAAGAAAGAAGTTGTGCCCAGCCCGTGTGGCTCAGTGGTTGAGTGTCAACCAATGCACCAAGAGGTCGCCAGTTTGATTCCTGGTCAGGGCACATGCCCAGGTTGTGGGCCCGATCCCCAGTGCGGGGTGTGCAGGAGGCGGCCAGTCGATGTTCTCACTCATCGATGTTTCTCTCTCTCTCCCTCTCCCTTCCTTTCCCTCTAAAATCAATAAAGGAAAAAGAAATTAAAGAAAAAAGAAAGAAGTTGTCTTGGCCAGCTGTTTTTATAGCTCCTGTCTACTAGCTGGCTTTAAGTAATCACAACAGAAAGAGAATGTACACCATATTTACATACTGTCAAACTGAGTGCACCGAATTTCTTGCCCTTCTTCTACTTCTTGTCTCTTGCTTTCAGAGAGTTTAAATACTTTCATATGGACTCCTGGGCTTTGTCCCAACCCACTTGGCGCTCACTTTTCTCTAAATATAAATTGCATAAGCTCATATTTTCTCTAACAAGACTCAGTTCTAAGGGGAAAACAAAATGCAGAAATGTTTGTATTACAATAACATCTTTCGTTACAGTTTGAAAATAAAGTTTTGTTTTCCAAATACCCATAACGCTGAACAGAAAATATCTGGATCTGGGAACACTGGGCTTCACATTTGCAAGCATCCAAAACACATGGAGGTTTTTGTTTGTTTGTTTTTATCCTCACCTGAGGACATTTTTTTTTTTTTTTTTTGCATTTATCTTCAGATAGAATGGGAGAGAGGGAGGGAGGAAGAGAGAGAAAGAAACATCAATGTGAGAGAGACACATCAACTGGTTGCCACCCACACAACCCCAACCAGGGCCAGGGACAAACTGCAACTGAGGTACGTGCCCATAGCGGGAACCGAACCCGGGTCTCTCTGGTCCGCCGGCCGATGCTCTGACCGCTGAGCCAAACCAGCCAGGGCTACATAGAGGTTTTTATTTATTTCTGCAAAATCCTAATTATCTACTTGGATTTATTGAGTAAATTGATTCCCTACAAAAGCGAATGTTAAATATGCTACTCGCATAATTTCTGTGACTAATAATTATGGTACCTTTCCGAAAATGCGCAGCCAGTCCTGATCCCCTACGTGTCTGAACGTCCTAACCCTTCATCATTTCTGAATGAGAGAACTGTCCACCTGTGTGGGCCTGTGCGAACACCTGGTGTTGTGAGCGGGGATGGTCGGAGAAGCAGAATGATGAAAATGGCAAAAACAAAACAAAAAAACCCGTAAGCGTTCTGCACCAAAACATTGCTACCTCACAGCACAAAGCTGAAAGTTAGACTATGATACAGAGATAATATAATATTTCTGTAAAATAAGGTTTTATATTGCCGTCTCTTTGTGTCTGCCAATAAAACAGAATTATGAGATTAACTACCGTTCCCTTGTCCTATCCTAAGCAGTCTTAACATTTGCAATACAAGCACCTCAATTGTTTCTCTCTCCTGCTGTTATAAACACTCCTGTGACTGACCTTTCTAAATGAATGGTGAGCAAATTGATCACTGATATTAGCCTGCTAATAAATCTATCATGGTTGCAAATAGTGATGTTTATTTGCTACCACTAAGATTTTAGCAGAATCTGTCCTAGAATGTATAATAGCGAATACTTAAAGACCTTGCTGGGGCAAGATGTACCCCAGATTGCCACAGATGGATGTGAAACCCGGCTAACAGGCAAACCATCTACAAATTCCACACATAGCATTATTCTCACATGTTGAATCACTTACTAATGAACTTAATCAGAATGATTGAAGTATTTGACTCTCCTATTTTGACATGGAATATTTCTGAGAGACACATAAGCAAGGAACTAAAACAAAGAAACAAACAAACAAACAAAAGCTAAAAACAATGGCTCCAGAAACCCATCATTCACTCGGGAAACATTATTAGGTGCCCTGAGTTATTGGAAGAGAGCTTTCTTATTGTTCATTTCACGTGGTAGCTTAGGTCTCTGTGGCATCCATACTCCTGAAGTCAAACCTCCAAACACACCAGTAGTCAAGGATCTTAAGAACTGCCTGGCAGCCCTGGCTGGTTTGGTCCGCAGACCAATGAGTTGCAGGTTCGATTCCGGTCAAGGGCACGTACCTTGGTTGCAGTTTGTCCCCAGCCCTGGTGGGAATTGTGCAGGAGGCAGCCAGTCAATGCGTCCCTCTCACGTCAATGTTTCTCTCCCTCCCACTCTATCTGAAAACAAACAAACAAACAAAAAAACTGCCTGGCATGCAGCGGGAAGGGGTTTTAGGGGCTGGGTGAAAGAGGTGAAGGATTGAGAGGTACAGATTGGTACTTACAGAATAGTCACAGGAATGTAAAGTACAGCTCAGGGAATATCGTGAATAATATTGTAGTAACTATGGATGGTGCCAGGTGGGCACTGGAAACATCCGGGGAAGCACTTTGTAAAGTATGTGACTGTCTAACCACTATGCTGTACACCTGAAACTCATACAAAGTATTAGTAAATGGAAACTGTAATGGAAAAAAAAACAAACTTTTAAAAATTTAAAACATTTAAAAAAAATTAAACTGCCTGACATGGTCTAAAATTTAATTGACGCAGTTTAAGAACAATTCTGACAAGGATACAAAACAGCAAATTCATTTCCAAGGGCTACTGTTAAAAAAACAGAAAGTACCATTGCTAAGGCTCGTGTGGCTCAGTGGTTGAGCGTCGACCCAGGCACCAAGAGGGCGCCAGTTCGATTCCCGGTCAGGGCACATGCCCAGGTTGTGGGCCCGATCCCCAGTGGGGGGCATGCAGGAGGCGGTCACTCGGTGTTCTCTCTCATCAATGTTTCTATCTCTCTCCCTCTCACTTCCTCTCTCTCTAAAATCACTATACACACACACACACACACACACACACACACACACCACTAACTGGGTGACAAAACTACACACTTTTTTTTTCCTGTCCAGCCTCTTCATATTTTTTTAATACAGCTGACATACAATATTACATACTAATAGTGCATACACTATTCAGGTATACAATATAGTGATTCAACATTTATTTAATTTACAAAGCGATCACCCCGATATGTCTGGTACCCACCTGGTACCAAACGAAGTTATTACAATATTATTGCCTATAATCCCTGCGCTGTACTTTACATCCCCAGGACTGTTCTGTAACCACCAATCTGTACTTCTCAACCCCGTCACCTTTTCATCCAGCCCCCAACCCCTGTCCCATCTGGCAACCCATTTGTTTTCTTCATCTGTGAGTTTGTTTTTGCTTTGTTCATTTATTTGCGTTTTTGTTTTTTTTTTTAGAGGCATTGTATGGTATTTGTCTTTATCTGTCAGATTTATTTCACTTAGCATAACACCCTCTAGGGTCATCCATGTTGTCAATATGGCAAGATGTCGTTGTTTCTTATGGCTGAGCAATATTCCAGTGTATACATATACCACATCTTCTTTATCCAATCATCTAATGATGGGCACTTAGGCTGCTTCCATATCCGGCTATTATAAGTAATGCTGCAATGAACATGGGGCTGCATATATATTTTTATTTATTAATTTATTTGTTTTTTAATCCTCACCCGAGGATATTCTTTTTTCTATTTATCTTCAGATAGAATGAGAGGGGGAGAGAGGGAGAGAAAGAAAGAAAGAGAGAAACATCGACATGAGAAGGACATATTGACTGGTTGCCTCCCACATGACCCCAACTAGGGCCGGAGACGAACCGCAACCAAGGTACGTGCCCTTGGCCGGAATCAAACCCACAACTCATCGGTCCGCAGGCTGATGCTCTAACTGCTGTGCCAAACCAGCCAGGGCATGCATATGTATTTTTAAATGAGTGTTTTGCATTTGTTCTGATAAATATCCAGAAGTGCAGGTGCTGGGTCATATGTACCACCGGAGAATCTTAGTCTTTCACAGCTCGGAAGGCTAGAAGGGTGTTGGCAGGGTCATGCTCCCTCTGCAGCCTTTACGAGTGGATCCTTCCAATTTCTGGTACCTCCGGGCTCTTTCTGCCCTGTGGCAGCATAATTCCAATCCCGCCTCTGTCTTCACATGGCTGTGTTCCTGCATCTGCCTGTGTCCAAATATTCCTCTTACAAGACACCAGTCACACTGCACTGGGGCCCACCCTCATTCATTATGATCTCATCTTAACTTTA